AAAAGAACAAGGTATTTATACCCTACATTTACTCCCCCTCCAATAAAACGATAAGTTAACGAATATTAGAAGGAGCGTACAAAATAAATATAAATATAGAAATAATTTTATTTTAGTAATAACTAAACATTTTTTTGGTTATGACAACGACGACAAAAATAATTAAATGCGCTAGAATATTGTTATTCCTGAGACATGATACTGCTGCATCAGCTGTTGACCTTGATTCTGTTTTTGATGCTCTAAATGTTGCTGCGTTTGAAACGTATTCAGTGAGTCTAGAACCACAATATAATAGAGTTGTCAAACTATCGATGGCACTATCGATAGTATCGATAGTTTCAATTTTTTTAGACTATCAATACTCATTGATAGTTTTTTCTTATACTATCAAAAATATCGATAGTTTAGTAGGACTATCGATCATTTCTACCAATTATTTTGAAATTATTTGAATTTTTAATTTGAATTAAAGATTTTGCTTTTTAGTGTGATGCCGACGTCGTATTCAAATATGCACGCATTTAGGCCAAAATACATACATATGTTAATCGTAAATCCTGTTTTGTTTGCATAACTTGTGTTTGTTTTTGAACTTTCTAAAAAGAGAAGTATTTTGGCTAAGCATTTACTTAATTTTGAATGATTATAACTTTTATAAGATAATATTTTTTTTCACTATGATCCTGTAAAAACAAAGCAACCTAACTGATTTAGCACTATCGATAGTGCTATCGATAGTTTTGTTTTTTTCGAGACTATCGTTAATATTGATAGTTTTTCTGAAAACTATCAAAACTATCGATGGTGTGACTATCGATAGTTTGACACCTCTACAATATAACCAGTAAACAACCTTCGGTGAATTTGGCGACTGCCTTCCTCGGGGATGAATATGCTAGGGATGAAATTATTGGTACACACGCCTTCCAAGCACGCAGGGTTGCTTTTAAGAAACAAAAAATAATTAACTCCAAATGTTTCAAAAAGTATAGTGTAAAACGAAATTTATTGAATAATTCCATATAAAATGGTATACATAAATGACTCATTTTCTAAACGATTTAAGTAAAACGCATTTCATAACCTTTGTTGTGCAAACGGCATTTGCGAATTGATAGAAAAGTACTACGGATTGTAAATTTTTGTTAACTATGAGGTGGATGAAAATTTTCAACCCGGCCTGACGGTTTTGAAGAATTTTTTTGTTCTAATTTTATTACTAAGGCGTCTAATAAATGCATGGCTTTTAGTTCTAGAAGAATAAAAGTCAGTAAAGACAAGTCTTTTTTGTATAATTTCTGATTTTAATTGCTCAACTTATTTTGCACCAGAGCAACTGTCAAAATTTTCCAGCAGTAAAAAGTTACGAATTGGCACAGCAATGTAAAATTTTCTCGCCATAATAAAAAAGTTTTTTCAACATGGATCTTTTCTACTAATTGACATGAAATTACTATCTCAACGCTCGGAACGCTGCCACTGAGGGCTTTTGCCAACTGATAAAAAAGAGAAAATTTGGAAATACCAAACAAAAATTTTGAGATGTCTCCTTGTGAATACGAATGCCATAGTTTTTACCTGGCTCGTGGGACTACGCAAAATTTTTACAGCTTGTAAATATGTATATACATAAAGTTGTTGGCGGTAATAAAGAGTCAAAATCAAAATGGAGAAAAGAACAAAAATCGTACCTTAGTTGTCAGTTATAACATAAATCCAATTTATTTGCGAATATTTGTTTATTCTATTTATTGAAAGGCAACTACGCGAAAAAACTTGTGTTAATTATATTGACAACAGAACCTGGCAGCTCGCACGTTGTCTAAATTCTCAAGCAACATAAAATCCACAAAAGAATACATTGCTTGTCCATCAATACGCCATGTATAAATTTTAACAACACACAAAAATAGAGCTTTCGCACGAGCGTTTGTTTGGTTTTTCAACACCATTTATAATTTTCTTTTAATAAAATCACGTATTGTCAAATGCTTAAATTTATTTATCTAATAATAATACAGCACACAACCCTGAAATCTAAGAAAAAGTCTGAGGAAGGTCATTAAATAGCAGCACACAACCCCGTGCCTTCATCAGGAGTGAATATAACTACAACAACAACGACTACTACAACAACCCAAAAAGGTTGGTTACTGTCTAAACTGTGTCTAGAACCCATTCTATGTTAAGCGGCACAACAGTGACTAACGTTTTGGTGTTGAACTATTGGCTGTGGTCATAGACGTTGAGGGCTGATGGAGAAATGAACGGCTGCTGCTGCCGTAGCAGTGCCGGTAAATAAGCAGGGGGCTAATGCTTGGTTGCTTACTAAAATTATAGTTGTGTATATTCAGGAAGATGTGATATGGCAAGATGTGGAAATTAAGGTTACAAAATGGTCCATGTGGAGCGATTGGTTAACCTGACAAGCAACTTGTTTCCCAGGCTTGCCTTTGTTGATATATTCCCGATTGTAGTTGTTAAGTTGTGGCAGTTGGACTGGTAAACATTTTCACACTATTGCAGCGGAAAGGACAACAGCGTATGCACATCGTGTCAGCGCTGAAATATTTGGAAAGAGATTTGTTGCTTCTTTGATCTTGCGCTTTTCGTTGATAGATATTTGAACTTCGTCGTTGTGTTTTTAGTCCAGGTTTAATGAAGGATCGCCAATATATGTATCATGATGAAATTTTATTATTCAAAATTTTGAATTATTTATTAGAACATTTTATGTTTGTAATTTGAAGACTTTTATTTTAATGATTTTAAAAACTTAGAAATTCTAATAAAATCTAAGAACACCAGAACAAATAAAAATTGTACAGGTATAAAAGAACAAGGTATTTATACCCTACAATCATCTCGATCAATTAGCCCATCGACTTTGCTCCCGCGGACCACCGAACCTATATCAACTTCAACAAAGCTGATTGGAACGGCTACGCGGAAGTTACCGAGGGCAGATTCGCCGCCCCTCCCACACCCACAGACATACACGCTGGCAAATGCCAATTCCGCAGGGAAGTGTGCCGCAGCGGCTCGCTTCATACCATCCGAGCGCATCGCGGAAGTCCGCCTAAATATCCCAAGCTAATGAGCGTGAACACCTTAAGTAGTTCACATTGCATCCTTCGGTAGAAAGAGCCAAACGTCGAGTGAGCAGGTGGCTGCGCAAATTGCCCAAAAGCAGTGCACTACTTACTTTCAGCAGCGGCGAAGTAAAGGTGGCCATCGAGAAGGCGAAAGCCTCCAAAGCTATTGGACCCGACGGAATTTGCATGCTGATGCTAAAGTATTTGGGGCCCGCGAGAGTAGCATATGTCACAGAGATCCTTAACCTGTCAATGGGTACTGTCATCATTCCTGATGTGTGCAAATCACTGCTCTTATATCTTATCGCCCGATAACGCTCCTTTCCCAGGTCTCGAAGACACCAGAGCCCCAGCTACTTCCGTACTTTACCCACCACCTGACCCCAGGGAAGTATCAGCATGGTTATGTAAATTGCACAGCACAACAACAGCATTAAACGCCATAAACACCCAGACAACTCGTGGCCTAAACCGCAACCCCCCCTGTCCGAGAACAGTCCAAGCAGCGTTGGACTTGTCAAAGGCGTTTCATACTGTCCACCGTTCCACGCTACCAGAATACATTGGGGCTTCCTCTCTCCCACAGGGAAGAAGAATGAAACAAGGCGTTCCACAAGGTGATGTCCTCTCCCCATTACTGTTTAACTTTTACATCTCGAAGCTCCCCAACCAACTGAGGGAGTTTCCCGGATGTCATACATAGACGACTGCTCAATATTGGCGTCTGGGAGTAGAATTGATGACCTATGCTCAAAGGTAAACGGCCATCTCTCCAGACTTTCTCGCTTATTCACTGCGGAGGTCAACACTCTCCCCAACAAAATTAGCGGCGACCTCTTCATCACCTAGACGAATTTCAGGATTTATTTAGGTTCAGACCATGTTGTTGTTGTTGTAGCAGCATACAAGCTCCCCAAAGAGTTTTTGGGGAGTGTTGGTGGAGTGACAGTCCTTGGCCAAATATAAATCTGGGTCGTTCCGGTTACATAGACCCGACTATCGTGGGAACGTTCCGACCCTGTCGAAACTGCCCGTTTTCTTGGGCCTACCTTTAGTTGAGCTTGAAGATAATGATTGATGAATGGACCGAAATAGGCGGGGCTTAGTAGTGCCGCTACAACAAGAACAACAGGTTTAGTGAAAAAAGTCTCGCACTGACGGGGTTGAGGCTTCCGATGCTTCCTTCTCGTTTAAAAAACGCATACATAGCACATATGAATATACATTTATTAAAATGTATGTATGTATATTTTGACAAATAAATCATACTCATAAACAAAGGCTTCTAGAATATATAAGCATATAACCCGAAATTAAACTGAATTCTACCCATATTTAATATACTAAAACAACAAATAAGCAACCGCATTGATTTAATACAATTGAACAAGAAACTGTTAACCAATTATAAATAACATTTGTATTATGTAATTATTTTATAAAATTGGGCAAAAGCACAAAACAATTTACATTCAAAAATCTGGAATTGGTGACAAGGAATTATGTATAAAGTTGTAACTTACATTTACATTTATTAAATTGATTTGTTTTACATTGACCACAATTGTGTTTTTGAAGGAATGGATTAAACTTTCATAATTCATATTTTGTCTTATCTACATACATATGTAACATAAAATACAACTCATACATGTGCTATATGTATATAAATGTACTATGTTTCAATTAATACCAAAGAAAAAACCACATATCTACAATTATTTTTGCATTTCATAATTTTAATTAACCTAGAATTTAAGTCAATAAACATCATTTTAAGGAAAGTTGTCCTTCATATATGATTTAATTTAAAGTACGTATTCAAAAACAAACAAAAAATAAATTTTTATTAATCGTTGACACATTAGCACCCCTTCATTTTGAACTGCTTAAGATTTTTGATGGTGGAATTTGACGCTTTTGGTGTGTAAAACATTTTAAGTTTCGCTCATTTTATAGTTGTCAACATCTTGCGGACACATCGTCAGCATCAATGCTAAATGTACTAATTGATTTTTTTTGTTTAGAAATGTGTTCTTTGCATATTGTATGTAAATATTCCTTTAGCTTTCTCCCAGATGCACCTTCTTATTAAAATACAAAACCAAATTTAAAAAAATTGATACATATTTATTCGCGTAACTAAAATAAGCTTTTTGTTTTTTCTGTAAAATTTCAACTTTGTCGTTTGCATTGATAAAGACGAAATGTACATACATTTTTTTTGTTGCATCGCAGATACAGCTACACTTTTTCAAATACTTATACATATACATATGTATGTACTAACCATTATTATCGCACCACTACAACTGCGTATTAACATCTTTGGTTATTTTCTACCCCGCGTACAACTTCAACTTTTCGGCGCGTTTGCACTGTTGCGTTTTTCCGCTATCCACATTTCGATTTCCTGCTTGAGTTCATTATTTGGCTGTACCTTGTCCATTGTGAGCGGAGCGCGATTGAAAGGATCAGTTTGATCGCTGAGCAGATGTCGAGCTATGGTCGAACGATCCACTGTCACCTTCGAGCTAGGCAGTATTACTGGGTCGGTCATTAACGTGGACATAATTGGATCCAAAAACTCTTCGGGTGCATCAGCTAAGAATTCCTGCTCTTCACGATATTGCACTTCCATGCGTAGTACTTTGGCAGCAAAGTCAGTTATTTCACCGATCAGTTGGCCGCCACCAATACGTACGAGTATATTTTCAGCATAACTAAATAGTTGCGAGCTATAAGAACGGCCATCTTGCGATACGGCTAAGCAAAATTGCTCACTGGTACTCAGATTGATATAGATGCGACAGATTTCCAATACCGTTTGCGCAGGATCGAACTCAAATTCCTTCTTATCTTTCACCTTGAAGCGTTCCTTTTGCGGTCCGACTAAATTCAAGAGAAAATAATTTAACATGGCGGCAATACGATCCACCATGCTGTTATGGCAAAAAATACTTTTAATTTCTATTGTTAGCAATTTTAGAATGTTAATGGTATCGCGACCAAGTATGTTGTCTATGCGGGCTCTCATGCCTAATTGATGCAGACTGGACAACTGTTGTTGGCGATCGTTTTGTGAGAGAGCATTCCATTCCCCACGCGCCTGTGCCTCTTGAAGTTGGCGTATTTGCTCCAAATTTGAAAGGGATTCATCTAAAAATATTCGAAGTTTTAATATTTGTAATTAGAATAAAACCAAATGAATAAGTATGATACATTTCATTAACTAATGACCTAAGCCGCAGGCAACCGCTGTAGCCGAGTGGGTAGAGACGCATAGTACCATTCCCACCACAGTCGGTTCTACGTACCGGAATGACTCGGGTTTTACCCGACCAAGGGCTGTTGTTTCGGCGATCTAACCCCGTTTAGGTCGGCGAAGTATCTCGGAAGTTGTTCGTCTATAGGGCTACATTCGCTATGTATTCTTCTGCTCAGGGCTGGCATCGAGTCAAACCCAGGGCCAGAAACCTACACCTGCTGTGTATGCCAGAGACGACTACACCACAACTCCACCTCAGTCAAGTGCAATGCTTGCGAGGAGTGGAGTCACCTCAGAGTCTGCTAGGGATTACGGACACATCGGCAGTGGACCACGTCGTTTGTGACCCCCTGCTGCTCAAATAGAGCAGCCTCCACGGCTAACCCCAGTCCACCTGAGCGGCTCCACACAAACACCACAGCACAACAACATAACAACACAATAGACCACACCACAACCACGACAGACCACAGCGACATAAGCGGAAGAAGTGGGAAGAGCATCTGAAGACCTGTAACGTCATCTCTGGTGTGAGTAAGCTTTGGTCAACCGTGAGGTCACTGTCCAATCCGACGAAGCACGACGAAAGAGTCGAAATTTCTTTCGGCGACCATGCTTCGTCGGACCCGGAGCGATGAGTGAGCTATTTTAGCCGGCAGTTCATACTGCATTCTCCGGTGGCCAAAGCCAAGCGTCGAGTGACCAGAAGTCTGCACAAACTGCCAACAACTTATGCCCCTCTTGCTTTCATTTGCGGTGAAGTTCAGGTGGCCATCGGAAAGGCGAAAGCCTCCAAAGCCATGGGTCCCGACGGAATATGCATGCTGATGCTGAAAAATTTAGGTCCTGCGGGAGTAGCGTACCTAACGGAGATCCTCAATTTGTCAATGGCCACTCTCATCATCCCAGACATCTGGAAGGTGGGGAGAGTGGTCCCACCGCTCAAACCGGGGAAACCAGCCAACAAAGAAGATTCGTATCGACACAGGCGTTTCATACCGTCAGCCACTCCACGCTACTAGAAAATATAGAGGCTTCCTCTCTCCCACAGAGGCTCAAACGGTGGTCGGCAAATTATCTGAGTGGTCGACACTTGTCGGTAATGTTTTAGAGACAAATCGAGCAAACTCAGGAAAATAAAACAAAGGGTTCCGCAGGGTGGTGCCCTTTCCCCGCTACTGTTTAACTTTTACATTTCCAAGCTCCCTCAACCACCAGAGGGAGTCTCGATTGTCTCTTACGCCGACGATTGCTCGATCATGGCGACTGGGAATGGAATTGATGACCTGTGTTCGAAAGTAAACGGGTATCTCTCCGAGCTTTCTCGCTTCTTCACTGCAAAGTGCCTAGCCCTCTCCCCTACGAAATCCTCTGCGACTTTGTTCACCAGCTGGACGAAGGAGGTCAGGCTACCGCTGGGGATTCACGTCGATGACACACCAATTCCGACGGTGAATAACCCCAAAATACTCGGAGTAACATTNCTCCTTCTCTGCGCACGCAACCGCTATTGTCAATAAAGTACAGAGCCGCAACAAGGTCCTCAAGTCGCTAGCCGGAAGTACTTGGGGCAAAGACAAAGAAACGTTGCTGGCAAAATACAAGGCAATAGGCCGGCCGGTTTTAAACTACGCAGCACCAGTGTGGTCGCCGGGTACCCCCCAGCCGGGAATCAGCCCCATCGCTAATTCCATGTGAATAAATCGTTCCCATCATTTAACATGCAAAACAAAAACAAATTTGGGAAAAAATTTTTTTGTTTTGTTTTATAATTTTTGGGAATATTTGTTCACATGGAATTCACGATAGGGCCGAATGCCGTTCTAGGCACACAACCACCGGACACTGACGAGACGGAGCTTCATCTGCCTCGGGAGACAAGAACCACAATAGCCCAACTTCGCTCTGGCTACTGCAGCAGGTTAAACTCATACCTGAGCAGACTAAACGCGGATGTGCCAAATTAGTGTCCGGCATTCGGAGAGACCCTTCACGACTCGAAACATCTCTTCGCATGCCCGGAAAACCCCACAACCCTAACGGCTTTGTCCCTGTGGACCGACCCAATGGAGGCTGCACGCTTCTTAGGGCTGCCGTTAGTGGAACTTTACGACAACGACTGAGACATCAACCGATCTGGGCGGGGTTATTGTAGCCGCTACAAAAACAACAACAACAGACGCATAGTACTACTCCGTAGGACCTAGGTTCGATCCCTGGTCCGAGCGACTCCTAAAAATACCTCCGAATGTTTGTAACTCAAAAAAGCTTCTCTTAAAACCCATTTGCCTTTCGGAGGCGGAGTAAAACTGTAGGCCCCTTAATTTTTGCTAAAACGTCAAGACGCCACCGCAATTGGAGGAGAAGCTTGGCCAAACACTTAGCAAATATTTTTTTATTACTATTTTTTTTTGTTTTTTAATTACCGATTTTACCAATTTATTTTTTATATACACAATACACATATACATAAGTATGTACATATATATTTTCGAGCTGAATCACTCTGTATATTAATGAAAATATGTATCATCGTTTCCTATTGTATTCGTATTTGCATTTAAATAAATATAAAAAAAACGCTCAACCGTATATAGATTCGTCAGTAGCTTTTGTATAGATTTTACAGATGCCAAAGTCGGAAGTTGCATTGAAATGTTAAATTCAGAGAAAATGCTTACCCTACCAAAACCACCTATAGTATGGAAAAGCCTCCGCTTTCAGATAAAATATGTATAGAATAAGCATTTTCACTTACCCAATAAAAATATAGCGTCATTAATTAGTAAATTAATGAATCTGAGGAAAAGTGGTGGTTCAATAGCCTCCATATTTTGCTCTGCTTCAATAGCCAAATTTTTGAAACATTGTACATGCTCCTCTTTGCTCCATAAGTACTCCATAATGGCATACATGGGACGACGATAATTGAATTTTTGTTCGAATTGCACAGACTGTCCGGTCATTTCGATGCTTACGAACACATTCAGCAAACTAGGCACCACCTTCAAACGATCCACATTGTTGTCGAACACATGTGTTATGAAAGAATTACGGATACTGCCAGAAATTTTTTTAGGTAACAGAAATTCCAATGCCTCAGCAAGCTTGGCGCGCAAATGTGGATTTTTAACAAGTTCTGCGCTACCCATAAATAAAACGATCATCTTGAATAGAGCATCGTGTGACGAATGATACAACTCGATGAATTGACCGGGTGGAAAGTGTCGGCTAAAACTTAAATAGGCAACCACATTGTCGATAACATTTTCTGGCACCGATTTCAAATATGGCGGTACGAATTCACATTTGTCGGGTATTCGCCTTTGCTTAAGCGTGTGCGGTGCAAAGTCTTCCTTAGTGGTGGCAACCTGAAACTCCTCCTTGGTAACCATTGCAATTTCAGTTAGCCAAATGGCGGAAGCTTCGAAAAATTTAAGTATGTGCGTATCATTTGACGGTTCCATTAGTCCGTTGCGCATACATAAATATTGTTGCATTTGCTCTTTCAGCATACGCAATAAATTTTTGGCTAAAGCATTGTTGGGGTGGCTTTGGGCAACATCATGATAAGCGGTTTGCAAATTATGTAGCTCACGAGTCATGCGTGTATATCGTTCAATGCATGCTGCATAGCCTAGTTCGAATGCCTTATGTGTCATATAGAATATTTCCGTAACGAAGTTAAATTTTTCAGCAACAAGACGGGTCTCATTCTCATCGGTAGGCAAGAGGCACGTCTCTTCTGTGGCTTTCAACATGCTCACTTGTTTGGCTTGACGATCTTCATCGGTAACAGCGCAATATGTTGGATCGACTAGTAATACCTGTAAAAGATAAACTTAAATGTTAACTATTTCTAAAATTTTTTGAATTGTTATGTATGTATGTAAGTACATATCAGTCCATAGCGGAATCTAAACTTTGCCCCCTGTTCGACACACCTATACCGTCTCCAATCAGGACCAAAATTTATATGTGATATCTTCCACTATAGTAGCATGGACGTTGGGATTGAGTCTTAGGATTCCAGATATAAAAATTTGCTTCCTATATTAAGGACCACCCTAATGTACGTACATATTGCAAACCCTGAATCTGCTTCTTACAACCAATGGGTATTGTTATGTGTTAGTGTGTTTTTGTTTCGCTAAAAAATCGTGAGTTCGATATGTTTGAACTAGATCAAGTACGAGTATGAGTTGAAATCCAACAAGCAAGCCAACCAGTTACTTGCTCGTTTCGAACCAAGCCCAGTGAATAGAAGTAAGCTTTGAAGTCGCTTGCTGCAGTACATATCAATGGTCCTCTACAATAACGGCACAATTCAAAAAAAAAAAGAAAAAAACCTGTATACTGGTTATCTCATGTCTCTAATCTTTGTCTAATCCATGTAAAATCTTTACTACTGTAAGCATAAGCATGTATGCACGTTGACTAACAAATACGATGTGTAACTAGCCCTTAAGCTATTTTGCAATTGTGTTTACACCTTAAGTTATGTGTCTAGACCTTAAGATTTGGTTGTTTTGTTAAGAGCGTGGGTAACCACCATCTTGGCATTGAATAAAAGAATCAGAATCAGATTGACTACCAACCACACTAGACGTGTGTAATTTATTTGAGAGTTCGTTTAAGCGTTTTCATCAGAAGTGGTCGTCGAAGCCACTCCAACGTACATAGTTTTCTTCTGTAATAAAAATTTTCGCGCGGTTTAAAATGGGAGACGACGTCGTGAGTGCAGAAAAGTATACGCTCCTCCAATTAAAGGCGTGGTGCGCAGCCGTTGGCGTAAACGTAAGTGGTGCAAAGGCGTCACTAGCAGCAAGGCTTAGACAGTTATCAGCAGAGGCACGCGGATTGTTCCCAGGTACCGAACCAGTGGATTTAACTGACGAAGCCAATGACAACGCTGCTGAAAGGCGTGACGAAATAAGCAGTGAGTAACACGACGAAGCTGCAAATGCAGTGGACAATGTAGTGGTAAATGCAGCGAAAAACGTAGCGGAAAATGTAGCGGTAAATGCAGCGAAAAATGTAGCGGTAAATGCAACGGTCAATGTAGCGGACAATGTAGCGGTAGTTGCAGCAAACAACGTAGCGGTCAATGAAGCGGAAATTGTAGCGTACAATGTAATGTTCAACATAGCGGACAACGATTCAGACAGTAATGCAAACTACAATATAGATGGGCAGTTCGGTGTTCAAATGCACACAAGCCGTGAAGTAGATGACCGGCGTCGATTGTTTAACAGTGTGGCCAATGTCGAGTCCGAGAGTCTTAGAGTTAAGTTGCTCGAAAAAGAAATTGAAATGTTGAGGCTGAAGCTGTCGATAGAAGCACAAAAAAAGACGCACACTGTCACTAAGGAATTCTCCTTCGATACAGTAAAGCAGCTATTATCAGATTATGACGGCGGCGAAAATTTCGAGATGTGGCGTGCGCAAGTAGTGCACCTGCAAGAAGACCTTAAGGTAGACAAAGAAATGCTTGCTTTGGTGGTACAGCTAAAATTGAAAGGTGTGGCTGCAACTTGGTATAATACCAACAAAATGTTTCTGAGGAGTCCGGACGTTGTGCTGACGGAGATGGCTACAATATTTGCACGTAGCGATAATCTCCTGGTTACGCGACGCCGTTTTGAAAAACGTACCTGGAGTTACGAAGAGTCGTTTGCAAACTACTTTAACGAAAAGTTTTTGCTAAGCAGCGGTTTGAACCTCGGCGACGGGGAGCTAGTCGAGTATATAATCGACGGCATCCCAGACACGCAGTTACAGGTCCAGGCGAAGCTACAAAATTTTCCGACAGCAAGCAACTTGGTGAAGGCGTTTCGTACGATTGAGTTGCCGCAACGTTCATCCCCAAGGCCGAGCGAGGATAGATAGTGCTCTAAATATGTAATCGGCGTAGAATCAGGAGATTCTAGTCGTCAGGATGGCCGAGTTGTTAGCATAAGCATGTATGCACGTTGACTAACAAATACGATGTGTAACTAGCCCTTAAGCTATTTTGCAATTGTGTTTACACCTTAAGTTATGTGTCTAGACCTTAAGATTTGGTTGTTTTGTTAAGAGCGTGGGTAACCACCATCTTGGCATTGAATTAAAGAATCAGAATCAGATTGACTACCAACCACACTAGACGTGTGTAATTTATTAGAGAGTTCGTTTAAGCGTTTTCACTACTTACTTTAGTAGTCCTTACTACTTACTTCAGTAAAGATTGGACATGGATAGACAAGAATAAGAGGCATGAGACACTAACAGTAGGAAGGGTTTTGTTTTATTGAATTTTAAATTTAGCTGTTATTCCAGAGGATCATCGATATATCGACGCCTCCAAACCATACTATGGTAAGTGAAAGGTGACTTAGCATGTAATGTTTTGGAAGCGTCGATATGCACATAAAGATTTAAAAATTATCTTTCGCTTTAAGTAAAACTTTTACATATAAGCAATTTGAATATACATTCATACTAAGGACCGTTTTCTAAATAAGGTTTAAGCAAAAAAAAACAAAACCGACTTCAATTATCATATAAAAATTTAAGATTATCGTTAATTTCTTCATGATTAAATGATCGGACCTCTACCAAATTACAATGGGGCCACCTGTGAGGTAACANTTTGTCTAATCCATGTAAAATCTTTACTACTGTAAGCATAAGCATGTATGCACGTTGACTAACAAATACGATGTGTAACTAGCCCTTAAGCTATTTTGCAATTGTGTTTACACCTTAAGTTATGTGTCTAGACCTTAAGATTTGGTTGTTTTGTTAAGAGCGTGGGTAACCACCATCTTGGCATTGAATTAAAGAATCAGAATCAGATTGACTACCAACCACACTAGACGTGTGTAATTTATTAGAGAGTTCGTTTAAGCGTTTTCACTACTTACTTTAGTAGTCCTTACTACTTACTTCAGTAAAGATTGGACATGGATAGACAAGAATAAGAGGCATGAGACACTAACAGTAGGAAGGGTTTTGTTTTATTGAATTTTAAATTTAGCTGTTATTCCAGAGGATCATCGATATATCGACGCCTCCAAACCATACTATGGTAAGTGAAAGGTGACTTAGCATGTAATGTTTTGGAAGCGTCGATATGCACATAAAGATTTAAAAATTATCTTTCGCTTTAAGTAAAACTTTTACATATAAGCAATTTGAATATACATTCATACTAAGGACCGTTTTCTAAATAAGGTTTAAGCAAAAAAAAACAAAACCGACTTCAATTATCATATAAAAATTTAAGATTATCGTTAATTTCTTCATGATTAAATGATCGGACCTCTACCAAATTACAATGGGGCCACCTGTGAGGTAACACCTTTCCTTTAAAAAATAATTATTGAAATCGGTTAATGTGGTCCAAAGTTATGCGGTAACATACATAGCAAAGAGTTGTTGTTGTTGTTGTAGCGGCTACTAAGCCCCGTTCGGGTCGGTTCANATTAAATGATCGGACCTCTACCAAATTACAATGGGGCCACCTGTGAGGTAACACCTTTCCTTTAAAAAATAATTATTGAAATCGGTTAATGTGGTCCAAAGTTATGCGGTAACATACATAGCAAAGAGTTGTTGTTGTTGTTGTAGCGGCTACTAAGCCCCGTTCGGGTCGGTTCATCCATCAACGTTGTCGTCAATTTCAGCTAGGGGGAGGCCCAGGAAGTGTGCGACTTCCACAGGGGCTGTCCATAGGGACAGGGGCGTCAGCTGAGTGGGGCTCTCAGGGCATGTGAAGAGGTGCCGGGAGTCATGCGGCGACTCTCCACATGCCGGGCATTGGTTGGGCACATCCTCGTTGATTCTACTCAAGTAAGAGTTTAGCCTGCGGCAATAGCCAGAGCGAAGTTGGGTTATTGTAGAGCGGGTCTCCCGAGGCAGACAAAGTTCTGTTCCGTCCACGTCCGGTGGTTGTGTGCCTAGAACGGCATTCACAGAGCGGGAGTCTACATAACTTGAGACTGATTCCCTGTGAATGCCGTTCAGGGCCTGTCGGTAAACCTCTGGACTTCGTCGGTCAGTTCGTAAAGATGCCTCTTGACCTGCCGTGGCGAGGGCTCTTCCGCGAGCAGCTGTCCGCTGGGATGGCCACGTCTGTGGCTCCCAGCAAGGAACTGCTTGCAGAGCATTATGTTATGCTCCTTTACTGGGAGCATCTGGGCCTCGTCATGTAGGTGGTGTTGGGGCGTCATCAGAAGGCATCCTGTCGCTGTTCGTAATGCCGTATTTTGGCTGGTCTGTAGCTTCATCCACTGCGTCCTGCTAGTCCCCGGCGACCATACGGGCGCTGCATAGTTTAGAACCGGCCGACCAATTGCCTTGTATGTTGCCAACAACGTTTCTTTATATTTGCCCCCAAGTGCTGCCGGCCAGCGACTTGAGGACATTGTCGCGGCTCTGTACTTTGTTGACAATTGCGGTTGTATGCGCCGAGAAGGAGAGCAGACTGTCGAAGGTAACTCCGAGGATTTTCGGGTTATTCACCGTCGGTATTGTTACGCCATCGACGTGAATACCCAGTGGCAGTCTGACCTCCTTCGTCCAGGTGGTGAAAAGGGTTGCCGAGGATTTCGCAGGGGATAGGGCAAGGCTCCTTGCAGTGAAGAAGCGAGAAAGTTCGGCGAGATAACCGTTTACTTTCGAGCACAAGTCATCAATTCCATTCCCAGACGCCATGATCGAACAATCGTCAGCATAGGAGACAATATTAACACCCTCCGGTGGTTGAGGAATCTTTGAGATGTAATAATTAAACGTGGCTTGCTAGTTTTGTCTCTGAAAATTACTGACGAGTGTCAGGTAGTTA